CTGTCGATTCGATGAGACAGTTTTCCCAAAATTAGGGGGAGAAGTTAGTGAAACCAAACAGGAAATTTTGTGAAAAAATCCATCATTATCTCATCTTGATCCACGTGCCTCTATTTGTGAAAAAGAGGTGCAAAAGATTATCCATTGGCAGAGAATAGCAAATCAAATGCCAGACGCATTTACGGATTTGAAAAGGATAACAAAATTACATATCCCTGCAGAGAATGTTCCAATCCGTATTGATGTCCCTATTGGACAATCTTCTAGTGTCATAGCTAATGAGTCGAAAGTACGCCTAAAACGTGCCAGACCATTGGGTTCCAAAGATCGAAATCCTAGAAAAAGGAAAACAAATTATCAAAATGACACTACGAAAGAATCTCGTGAAGAAATCCATGATTTAATAAATTCTGAGATTCATGAGGAACCCACTGGGCCTGAGACTCAAGAAAATAAGGAACTATCAATAAATCCAATCGATATTGAGACAAATTTGAATCGATTGGATATAGTGGTGGATTATGTCTTTGTATATAATGTTGCATATAGCATTATGCAAGATAATGAGGATCTTGAACCTCAATTTGTTGGAGAATGTCGACAAAGACGTGATTGGCCAAAGTGGCAAGAAGCAATACAATCAGAGTTGAATTCACTTGCGAAACGTGAAGTTTTTGGGATTGTAGTCCAAACACCTAATGGTGTTAAGCCTGTTGGCTATAAATGGGTTTTTATACGCAAGAGTAATGAGAAAAATGAGGTACAAAGATATAAGGCACGCCTTGTTGCACAAAGATTTTCACAAAGGCCTGGTGTCGATTATGAAGAGACATATTCACCTGTTATGGACGCTATAACGTTCCGCTATCTCATTAGTTTTGCTGTCCATGAAAAGCTTGACATGCATTTAATGGATGTGGTTACTGTCTACCTTTATGGCTCACTTGATAATGAGATATACATAAAAATTCCCGAGGGATTTAAAATTCCTAAAGCACATAATTCAAAGTCCCGGGAAATATTTTCAATCAAATTGCAAAGATCTTTGTATGGTCCAAAAACAATCAGGATGGATGTGGTATAATCGTCTTAGTGAGTATTTATTAAAGGAAGGCTATATAAATGATGCCATTTGCCCGTGTGTTTTTATAAAGAAAACAACATCGGAATTTGTTGTACTTGCCGTATATGTTGATGACATAAACCTTATTAGAACTCCTATAGAACTCCCAATTGATTATTTAAAGAAGGAATTCGAGATGAAAGATCTCGGAAAGACAAAATTGTCTTGGTTTGTAAATTGAACATTTGGCAAACGGAATTTTCTTTCATCAATCTGCCTACATAGAAAAGGTATTGAAACGGTTTTACATGGATGTAGCACATCAATTAAGTACTCCGATGGTTGTTCGATCACATGATGTGAATAAGGATCCATTCCGACCTCAAGAAGAGAATGAAGAGCTATTTGGTCCTGAAGTACCATATCTAAGTGCAATTGGTGCACTAATGTATCTTGCTAATACTACAAGGCCTGACATAACCTTTTCAGTTAATGTCTTAGCAAGATATAACGCTGCTCCTACAAGGAGACATTGGAATGGAATCAAACACATAATGTGGTATCTAAAAGAGACTACCGATATGGGCTTATTTTATGATAATAATTGCAGTCCTGATCATGTTGTTATACCGATGCTGGGTATTCATCTGACCCACACAAGGCTCGGTCTCAAACAGGTTATGTGTTTACCTGTGGAGGCACTGCCATATCTTGGCGATCGACTAAGCAATCAATTGTGGCTACTTCATCTAATCATGCTGAGATAATTGTTATTCAAGAAGCAAGTCGAGAATGTGTGTGGTTGAGGTCTATAATACATCTTATTCGAGACAAATGTGGTTTGAAATGTGACAAACTACCCACGATTTTGTATAAAGACAATGCAGCATGCATAGCCCAATTGAAGGGAGGATTCATAAAAGGAGATAGGACAAATCACATTTCACCAAAGTTATTTTTTACTCATGATCTTCAAAAGAATGGTGATATCAATGTGCAACAGATTCGTTCAAGTGATAATATGGCTGATTTGTTCACAAAATATCTACCGACGTCAACCTTCAAGAAGCTAGTACATAAGATTGGGATGCGAAGGCTCAAGGATGTGAAATGATGCTCTCATCAGGGGGTTTAATACGCGTTACACTCTTTGACCGGTTGGAACGGTTACGAAAGTTTCCGATAGTTAGACCGTTTGAGAGCCTTGCAAGACTTTCGAGAGTTAACGACAGGAGAAAAGGAAAAGGTTTCCCTTACAAGGTTTTGTCCCATTGGGTTTTCCTTGCAAGGTTTTTAACGAGGCAACCAAAAGGCGTATTATTAGATATGTGTACTCTTTTTCCTTTTCTAGAATTTTTTTCCCATTGGGTTTTATTTTAGTTAAGGTTTTTAACGAGGCACATTATCTGTTGAATAGACATTCAAGGGGGAGTGTTATAAATAGAATTTTATTTATGGTGAATGTCTATATTTAGAGAGATTCTAGGGTTTATTACTTGATGGCTAAGTCATTCCTCCCTATAAATAGACGGGTCTTACCCCATTGTAAATCATCCCAAAATTCAATAAGAATTTCCCCTCTGTCTCTTTCTCTGCGATATTGTTCTTCTTCTTTTATTGTTTTCATCACAAATTTAAACTAGATTCCACAATAACAAACATTTTTATTTCCAAGTCTAAACAAGTTAGCACAAGTATTAGCATTTCAAACTAGATACACTAGCTCTTTACCATAGATTTTGGAGTACTTTCTCTTCTTATACATAAGATCTAATGCTTAGATTCAAACCTTGGAAATTCAATTAATTAATTTGCTCTCCGACTTGAAGGAACATTTTAGGGTAAATATTTTCATGGTTTTAGTTAGTGTATATTTTTGTTTTAGTAATAATTATAAATGTGACATGTTTGTCAAGTTATGTTCATCTTCATTTTGAACATTTAAAAAAAAAATAGAAAGTGTAACTACTACCTCAACCTATCTCATGTTGAATTTATTATCTTATTTGGTTTGTGATAAAAATAAATACAAAAATTGCCGTATTAGGAGATAAATAAAGAACTTTAGTAAAGCACTCATTAATAAAAGTTGGCAAGTACCAATATAATCGAATACCACATTTCACACTTAATACGTTCAAAGAATAATATCCAAAGCTAAAACTCATGTTAAACAGTTAAAGATAATTGGACATGTAGGAATTAGTTATGCGGGATTTAGTTACACGAAAATTAGTTATATGCGGTAGTTATACAAAACTAATTATATAGGGATTAGTAATACATATATATATATATAAATGTAATGTGAGTATTATTTATTATTTATCTAATTTTTTTCGATTAAAATTGTTAGTATATCTTAAACATATTTTTTAAATAAGAAAAATAAAAGTTTGAATAGTGGGTATTCTTGTTATTTTGTGTGTTTAAGCCAAGTATTACTAATACATGTATTAGTTATTTTATCTTCTACCCTGTAAAAACAATACATAGATTTCCGCATAATTTATATATGTGTTAATTATGTGGAACTATTGTATTATCAATGTTATATTTTCATGTGAAAAAGAGAAAAAAATAATCAAATATTGTATAACTTATGCTAGATTTTATGCAGAGATTATTTCCTGTCCCCCTTTTTTATCAGTAAATAATGTATAAAATTATGCTAAATTTTGATACACGAGTAACTCCTCTCTAGCTGGCAACCAAACGACCTCTTAATCTCTTTCTTTTCCTTTTCTCATACCCAAACATGATAGCAACATGAAACTTTTGCTGATGAGATGTGTGTTAAATTTTCTAAAAGGGAGAATGCATCATGAAAATTTATTTAAATATAGAACAAAATATGAGAATTTAACTTTGTGAGATTAGACGGAGAGGGGAAGGTGGTGGGCGATCATGAGGTGCCTTAGACAATAAATACTGATAGGGCCATAATAGAATGAAGGCACACAAAGATCATAAAAACAAGAGGAAAATGTAAAAAACAATAATCTTATTATTATCATTCGAAGAAAATTCAATCACTAACATATTACAATTAAAGTCATAATATCACGTGTCTCGTGATTAATTGATAGTTATTGTAAAATTAAATGTTTTCCTTGACTTATAAGGTGCTATATTCTTGCTATAATTAAACGATCACAACAAAGTGCAACCTCAGTGAATGGAACAGCACAAAATTTAATTTTTTTTTTTTGTTTGCAAAATTTTCTGCACCCAATTTTGGGCAGCAGAGTAAGGAAGGAATGGCACAGAAAACATACTACATGAAGTGTTGGTACATCTGAAGACAACCTTAATGCCCATATTATTCCCTTTTACACTTTACTTCCACATCACTTAAAACCATAGAACCCCCTCCAATTTCTTAAAACTCCAAATCAACCCTCCATCAAACAAGAAATTTACACATTCGCCCTTCTGAATCACCCAACCACATGCGTACGAAAACAGAACAAACAATTGGGTATGTGATGAATCCAATACCAATGAAATTTCCCACAGAAAAAGAGACACAGATAAGAAAAAAGAGAGGGCGTGACATAGGAAAACAAAGTCAAATGATTCACGCTACAACACAACACAAACCTTAGATCAGTCAATCCGACCCTAACACAAACCTTAGTTTAGTTTAGTCACAGTCACATTCCACATCTCTCCCTTTTCTTTTAACTCCTACGTGGGTGATGTTATTATTGCCCTGCCCCTTCTGCCCGTTCTGCCCGCTTTCTCTCTCTCTATTTTTCTATCTCTACAACCTAAAGTAACAAGTAAGTACAACTTTCCCTTTGCCGTCTGGGACATCATTTTCTCTTTCTGATTTTCTTATTTTTTTTTAATTTTCTTTTCTTTTTTCTCTCTCTCACACACACGCACGTACAAAACACACACATCGCTCTATTTATTTAAACTAAATTATATATTTATACATTATAATCTCTTCCTCTCTTCAGCCACAGTTTTTTCTCTCTCTAAAACACATTTTCTCTCACTCGTCTAGGTCGTAAGAAATACGGAGGTTAGCTCTTTCTCTCTTTATATATCGATATATGTCTCTTTATGTGTATATTTGTGTAAGTATTGATTTGTATGTGTGCAAGTATGAATCGAATTAATTGGATCTGGAGTTTTTAACCGTTCATTTGATGGGTTGCAGATCGGAGAATTGGCGCTTTGTCCTTGGAATTGAGTTAAGGAATTAGGGTTTCTGAGGATTTTAAGGCGATCGAGGGAGGATTTGGGATTTCTAGGGTTTCCCGGGGATTAGAGAAATTGGGGATTTTGCTAGGGTTTTGGTGAAGTAAATTGATATTGCTCTCAATTGACTGGGGATTGGATTGGATTGGATAGGATAATTGATGTTTGAGGCTGGGCTGGTTATAGGAGGTGCTGAAGATGCCAGTCGTATTGTATTATGCTGCATGGGAAGGGACAAAGGGAAAGTGAGGTTTGTCGACGCTCGACGACTGGTGGTCAGCACATGCCGGCGACGACCACGACCACTGTAACCGCCGCTCGTTCTTCTGTTGTTTCTTCTATTACCTCTGATTCGTTCTGCAAGGTATTGCCTTGGTGGGTTTTTCCTTTTTTTTTTCTTCCTTAATTTCTCGTTTTGCCTACTATTCTTTTCTATTGCTTCGATTCATTTGATTGCGCTTGCCTTAAAAAATTTCTTCCTTTGGAGTACTTTGCTTTTGTTGTTTTTATCTGAGGTATACTGCAAGCCCAGTTCAGGTTGCAGACTGATCTCCCGTAGTACTTATCAAGGGATTTGTTTCTCTAACTGTCCTTCTGCCGGGTTTTTCTTTAAGTATATTTTTTCATCTCAAGTTTGTGAGAAATGGGCATACTCGTATCATGGACTGGAAGTTGTTTTAAGATCTTATCATTCAACTTGTGAAGCTTGTCATGGTGTTGCATTTGGATATAGTGCATTATTTGCATTCAAAAGTAGTTTGTTCTGTTTTTTGGAGAGGTCCATAATGTGGTACGTTGTGGAACTAGTTTTGCTTCTCACTTTCTCATGTCAAACGATGATGTTGTTATGCTTCTGCATTTGTTTAATTTTGACATTTCCAGCAAGGTAAGGTTGTCATTGCTGGTTTCAAGTTTTCATTCGGGGCTACAAGAAAGTTCCAAAAAATATTTGTTTCTTTTCTAGCAAATAGCTCTTCCAAAGAATTTTATCAATGCACCGAAGATGTTGGCCCCAACCTGAAGTCGACGACTTATTGCTATTCTTGTCCGTGAAAATGTTGCTGAAATGATGAAAGATGCTCCAATACATTCTCTCTCACATCACTTCTGCCATGCTGTCACAAAGTAGATTGTACCCAAGTGGAGCTTCGGCAATAAAACTCTGCTGTTTCCGTTGTTTGCGTGAGGGAAGAAAGGGATTCAGGAGGAGCTCGGCAGATAAAATCTAAGCTAGCAAAGTTGCAGTGTAGAAGCATGTATATTTTGTGTTCGGAGAAATTTCTTGCTGCTAGAAATAAATCCTTAGGAAGCAATGCAGATAGCGGCTTTACAAAGTAGGGGAAGAATTATATCTTAGATTAACTACATCATTGTAACTCGTGCACTTTTATTGAGTCTTGTTTGATGTTTATATGAAGCAAGCAGTTAAATTGTTAAGTCACTTCAAACTTGAGCATCTACCAGATTTTGCATGGATCGCCGATTTGTTGGTTGTACTTGATGAAGTTTTTGGAAATAAAATTGCCAATTAACCTAAAAATACGTAGCCTACGCGACTGCAAGTTTTATACAACATGAAAGATGTGGATGAGCTCAGCTATTTATGTCTTTCTGTTTCGTACAAGTTCATTTATTACCGTTGCTTGGTTTGCTTCTAGTTATTTGAATTTATTGCGTGTTTCTTTATTGATTTAACATCTTTACTTGGTGAAGTTGAAAATTTATCCTTTCTTTGCAGGATGGTCGCAAAGTTTTTGTGGGCGATTGTGCTTTGTTCAAACCACCACACGACTCCCCACCTTTCATTGGAATAATCCGAAGGCTTACATTGAGTAAAGATAATAACCTGCAGTTAGGTGTTAATTGGCTTTATCGACCTGCTGAGCTGAAGCTTAGCAAGGGCATCCTTCCGGAGGCCGCACCCAACGAAATCTTTTATTCCTTTCATGGGGATGAGATTCCTGCTGCATCACTACTGCATCCGTGTAAAGTTGCATTCCTTTCTAAAGGTGCTGAACTTCCAACAGGGATATCCTCATTTATCTGCCGGCGTGTTTATGACATTTCAAACAAGTGTTTATGGTGGTTAACTGACCAAGATTACATCAAAGTAGGTTATTATCGCTTGATAGCTCTGTATTCCTTCTGTTAAATTGTAGGAGATTATTTATCCTCGAGCAGACAAGGGAGACAGGGCTGATGGTTCAACAAAAAGAGAGATTCTTTTTTTAATCCTTGGATCTTTTTTCATAAAAGAAGTAAAAGTGTTTTGGGGCTCTTCTTTTGGGTCGAGGGTGGCATCTGAGATGCTAGGAGAAAGCAGAAATTGCACACTTTTCATTCTTTATTTTTCTGATTGCTTTCTCATCTTTCACTCATACAGTATTTCTGCTCCTGTGCAGGAACTACAAGAGGAATTAGACCAACTATTAAACAAGACACGAGTAGAGATGCATGCAACAGTGCAACCGGGTGGTCGCTCTCCGAAACCAATGAATGGTTCAATGTCAACATCACAATTGAAGCCGGGTTCAGATAATGTACAAAGCAGTGTAGCTTCTTTTCCTTCACACGTCAAGGGAAAGAAGAGGGAGCGGGGAGATCAGGGCTCTGAGTCAATTAAACGTGAACGTTCAATCAAGACAGATGATATAGATTCTGGTCAAATCAAAGCTGAAAGTGTACTTAAATCTGAAATTTCTAAAATTACAGACAAAGGAGGGCTTGTAAACTCTGAAGGGGTTGAGAACCTAGTTCAGCTGATGCAGCCGGATAGAATGGATAGGAAAATGGATTTGATCAGTCGTTCGATGCTTGCAAGTGTTGTAGCTGCAACTGACAATTTTGACTGTCTTACTAGGTTTGTACAGTTAAGAGGTCTGCCTGTGTTAGACGAGTGGCTTCAAGATGTTCATAAGGGGCGGATTGGTGAATATAGCAACACAAAAGATAGTGACAAATCGGTTGAAGATTTTCTCTTCGTTTTGCTTCGTGCACTTGATAAGCTTCCCGTGAACCTTCAAGCGCTGCAGATGTGCAATATTGGCAAGTCTGTTAATCACTTGCGGCAGCATAAAAACACGGAAATACAGAGGAAGGCGCGAAGTTTAGTTGACACGTGGAAGAAACGGGTTGAAGCTGAGATGAACATCATTGATGCCAAGTCTGGTTCAAATCAGGTTGTCACGTGGCCTTCTAAATCAAGATTGCCTGAGGCTTCTCATAATGTTGGCAAAAATCCTGGTGGTTCAAATGATTTTACAAAGGGTGCACTTGCACAGCTTTCTGCATCTAAAATGGCCTCGATAAAGCCTTCACAAGGGGAAACTACTACAAAGTCTGCGTCCTTGTCTCCGGGCTCAACAAAACCAGCATCATCACCTGCATCTGGAAAGGAGGGTCAGCCCAGAGTTCCAGTTGGCGGATCCTGTGATGTTCCTTTAGCAAGGGAAGACAAGAGCAGCAGTTCTAGCCAGTCTCACAACCACAGTCAGTCCTTCTCGGGGAAGGAGGATGGGAGAAGTTCGACTGCAGTGTCAATGAACAGCATCAAGATCTCTACTGGCGGTTCTCGTCACCGGAAGTCAATTAATGGATATCCTGGATCATCAGTATCTGGAAGCCAAAAGGAGAGTGCTGCAGGCAGAAGTTCACATAGGAATCCTACCTCAGAAAAGTTACCGCAATCTGCATTGAGTGGTGAGAGAACTGTTGATGTGCCAGTTCTCGAGGGGAGTGGTCACAACCACAAATTGATAGTTAAGATATCTAGCAGGGGACGCAGTCCTGCACAGAGTGCCAGTGCAGGATCCTATGAGGACCCTACGAACATGAGCAGCCGAGCTTCTTCTCCTGTGCTTTCTGAAAAGAATGATCAATTTGACCGAACATTAAAAGAAAGTGCGAAAGCTGAATCCTGGCAGAGCAATGATTTCAAAGATGTACTAACCGGTTCTGAAGACGGTGATGGATCACCAGCTACTGGTCCGGAGGAAGAGCGAAGCAAGATTGTCGATGAGGGCAGGAAATCAGCAGAAGCTAGAGCTGCTTGTACATCAGGGATCGAATTGAAGTCTGGAAAACTGCACGAAGCTTCTTTTAGCTCCATGAATGCTTTGATTGAGAGCTGTGTAAAATATTCTGAAGCAAACATGCCTATGTTATTGAGTGATGCTATTGGAATGAATCTCCTTGCCAGTGTGGCTGCCGAAGAAATGTCCAAGTCTGACATGGTTTCACCTTCTGTTTCTACGCAAAGAAATACCCCTGCTGCTGAAGATGCTTGCACAGGTGATGATGTCAAGTCAAAGTCACCTCTGGCTGATATCTCCACTGGTGACCGTAGAAATGATGATGATGGTGATAGAGAGAAACTGGTTGTTAGTGCTAGTGCTTCATGGTCGGAGAATAAACTGCATCCATCCAAGGGTGCTGCTACGGAGTTCTCTGGAGATAGAAAGGCCTCTTTTTTATCTCCTGAAGAGACAATGACAGGAGGATACAACAAACAGTTCAACTCTCCCTGCATTGATTCACAGCCGGCTGGAGTGAAGTTGGAGATCACTGAGAAGTCAGGTGAGATGGAAAAAGCTGCTTCTTCACCTCATAGTCTATCTGACAAGGCAATCGATTGTGATATAAGCAAACAATCCCAGGAGGAAAAGGTGGTGTCCCGTGAGGTCAAGGTTGATGGTGCTCTAGATGCTAAATTAGGTGGAAGTTGTACTTCAGTATTAGAACACAAGGTCAGTAATGCAGTAGTAAGCTTCAAAGACCAGAAACCAACAGTTGAAGTCTGCACTTCTAAGTTTGAAATTGAGAACAAGAATGGTGTGAATAGGGTGTTGAACAATGCTAGTACCGAGATGAAACCATCTTTTGTGGCAAAATCTGAAAAGATGGAGGCAAGTGACAAGGAAGAGCGTCTACCAACTAGTTCAAGTGGAGATCCCACTACAGACAAAGGTGGACAGTCTGATGAAGCAAATATAAGTCTTGTTCATCTGTCTGAAAAGACAAAATGTGATCAAGGAGCTGTTGATGTTTCAGCTGAGGATAAAGCCCGTGTGGATATTGATTTTACTACTAGAAATCAGAAAAGTGAAACTAGTGTTGAAAGGAAGGATGTCACTGTGCAGAACTCTGGCTTGTTACTCAATCAGAAAGAGAAACCTGGTTTTTCAAATGCAGAAGTGCTGAAACATCGGGAATCTAGAGAATCAAATTTCTCTGCTGTTGAAGAAGATAAAACAAAGGACTGTGGATCCACCACTCTGGAGACTTCTTCGGTCTCTGCTGCTGCTCCAGATTCAGCTTCAAAGGTGAAGTTTGACTTAAATGAAGGTCTTATTTCTGATGAAGGAAAATACGGGGAGACAATCAACTTTGCAGGCCCTGGATCTCTATCCAATGTCCATATTATGAACCCATTACCTTTTGCGGTATCCTCAGTTTCCTGTAGTCTTCCTGCCTCCATTACAGTGGCTGCCGCCGCCAAAGGTCCGTTTGTTCCACCAGAGGAGCTATTGAGGGTTAAAGGGGAATTTGGATGGAAAGGATCAGCTGCCACAAGTGCATTTCGCCCAGCTGAGCCCAGGAGATCTCTTGATATGCCATTAAGTTCCACAAATATCTCTCATCCTGAAGCTTCTACCAGCAAGCACACTCGTCCACAATTAGATATTGACCTGAATGTACCAGATGAAAGAACTTTTGATGAAATAAATTCTCGAGATTCTGCTCTAGAGTTGATCTCGCCGTTGGACCATATGACTAATTGTGCTGCATTGAAGAATGAAGTAATAGATTCTCCTGCTGTTCGCTGTTCTGGAGGACTTGATCTTGATTTAAATAGAGTTGATGAACCTGGTGATGTTGGGCAGTGCTCTGTGAGTAGCAGTAGTAGATTGGATGGTGCAGTTTTACCTTCCAAAACATCATCATCCATTGGCTTGCCAACTGGGGAGGTGAGGAGGGACTTTGATTTAAATAATGGGCCTGGTGTTGATGATTCCAGCGCAGAACAGTTTTTATTCCACGATAATCATCAGGGAAGCATGCGTTCCCAACTGCCTGCTTCTAGCCTCAGACTGAACAATCCAGAAATGGGGAATCTTTCTTCTTGGTTTACTCCTGGGAATACTTATTCAACTGTGACACTTCCATCAATTTTGCCTGATCGTGTGGAGCAGCCGCCATTCCCAATGGTCACACCTGGTGCACAACGAATATTGGGTCCTCCAGCTGCTGGTTCTCCTTTCACTCCGGATGTTTACCGGAGTTCAGTATTGTCATCATCGCCTGCCATGCCTTACCCATCCTCCCCTTTTCAGTATCCTATATTTCCTTTCGGAACGAGCTTCCCACTTCCTTCTGCAACATTTTCAGTTGGATCAACTTCTTTCGCAGATTCTTCCTCTGGTGGACGGCTTTATACGCCCCCTGTAAATTCACAGTTGCTGGGTCCTGTTGGCGCTGTGTCATCTCAGTATCCAAGGCCTTATGTGGTTGGACTTCCTGACAGTAGCAGCAACGGTACCATGGATCACAATAGAAAATGGGGAAGGCAGGGTCTGGATCTTAATGCAGGCCCTGGAGTGGTGGACATGGAAGGGAGAGAAGAGTCGGTTTCTTTGTCGTCAAGGCAACTCTCTGTTGCCGGTTCACAAGCATTAACGGACGAGCATGGTAGGATGTATGCTGTTCCTGGGGGTGTTCTGAAGAGGAAGGAGCCTGAGGGTGGGTGGGACAGTGAGAACTTCAGATTCAAGCAGTCATGGCACTAAGATCTGCAATCTGGTGATTTTATAAGGTGAGGCGTGTGTTTTGTATGTTTATTGTTAACTCAGCAGATTCTTTTTTAGCCTTTACACTTCAAAGTATGACCTGTACCTCCTACATTGTTTAAGCATTTGAATGGAACTATGTAGGGAAGCGCTAGGACATCATGCATTAAGATTGCGTATCAAACTATAAGCTTGTGCATTCATATATATTTGAGCTGTTACTCCTGCGCAGAAACTATGATATACAACCAATGAAAAGCTCGCTTGCACCTTTGTGCACAATTATTTTAAAGGTTTCTGCTGAAGCATGGTTTCTTCTTTTTCTAGTTTGATATATTCTGAAAGAATAAAATATTTTTGAAGTTGGAAATGCTTGGGTCTTACTGTCTTATTGTCGAGACATATTATAGTTGTTTTCCTCTCCCCCTGAATATCTATTTCCAGTAGGTTGTTAAATCCCTATCCTTCGAACAAGAGAAATGCTTGAGAAAAAGAAAATCACACTTTCTTCCCCGGTATCTCTGAGCTATATTCCTTGTCCTTAGAACTTGTTGATGCCTCTTCATTCCTTTTTTGAGTTGTGTTTATTTTCCAAGTTTGGAGATATTTTCCTATATTTTTGGTGTGGCTGACATTTTTACACCCAATTTTATTATTCTTTTTCCTTTTAACGCAGCTACTGGAGGATGGACTTGGCTAACTCCTCAAACTCTCAGCTTCTGGCATGCTCCAGTGGGTGGGCGGTAAGTGAGCAAAATTGATGTTCAGAGTCTCCGACCACCACCTCTTCAGCTTATCAGTGTAGTTGGGATTTCCATGATTTGCAAGCACACTTTGGTGAGCTATATTCTCTGGGTGGATGCAGATGAGTTTTCCCTCTGTAGATATTTAACTGTTGGAAAGCTTGATATCTTTGATGCCCAGGGACTGGGGATAAATCAATGTTATCCTGTCCAAATTATTGACAATGGAGGTCCAATTTCGAGACTGAATCAAACGGAAAGCTTTTCTTTGTGCTTTGCTGTTAATCATCTTTCTTTGCTTCCCGTGTTCTTGGCTTTTTTCTGTCCTCCTTTGCCCATTACATATGTATACAGGGTTGACACCAAATTTTGGTACTAATGCTTTCATCAGGCATGTTTTAGTTGTTGTGGCTGCCATTGTACCATAAATTAAATCGTTCTAACGTTAGTTGTAGTCTCATTCACAGATGATAGAACTCTTGTTAATGATTTTTTCAATGATGGTGGGGTGATGTGCTTGTTTTTCTTTCAAGCTACTAATCTGAACCAACAGTCTTGTGAGCAACGAAAAGACAACTTCTGTTCTCCGATTTGGAGAAATTAAATGGGCGGAGCTTTTGCATGGGTTAGGATTGTCTTATTGTTATGGCTGTTCCAGTAATAGCTGTTTAGCTGTAACTGATATTAGCTTGTTGTGATGGCCGGTCCTCATATTGATGCTATGTTAATTATCAAGTGAGCTGAGTACGCATATCAAGTGTGAATGCTGAGTATTCTACAATGCAGAGATTGCGGTCTGGTTTGGGTGCAACCTGATATGCTTCTGTGCAGGTAATCACAGAAACCACAAGTGTGTGGTGGGACCATTGTTTATTTCTGTCCGCTGTTTCGCGGGCCATTTTTGTTTCATCTTCCCTTTTCCATTGCTCCTATAACCCAAGAGAGTTTTCATTTGCTTTGTTCCAAGTATGAGTTGTGCAATTGCTCCGACTGGCTGTATACATTTGGGCGTTTTCACGTGGTTCCACAATTTAGATTGCAAGCTTGTGATGCAATATTATTGTGTTACTCTCTCCTTTAAATGCAATCTTGTCGTGGTAACTCTCCTACAAAGGTATTGGGGTTGTGGTTAATAACCGTGCATCCATTGCTCAAGAAAAGTCATATATTAGCTTACGAACTTGGTTTGAAACCTACTACCACGAAAGATGGACTCCACAGTTATGACAGTGTAGTTTATGTTGTACGTCTCCAGTATTCCTTGTCTTGCTATACTCGAGGAAAACGCTAGCACACATTACTCCCTAATTTACTTACTGCAGCCCCTTGCGTAGCTTCTGGTATACAGCGAGTGATATGGTTCAATAGAATTAATACATGTGCTTGAAATATAAACCTACCATGTAACGTATTTTACAGACAAATCAAGGCCGTCCAGCAGTAAGTTGGGTTATGGAAAAACAAATACATTATGCTCTTCACAAAGTTCTGATAGATATGTAAGTTTTATAGGCAGCGCGCTCAAGCAAGGATATAATCATGTTAGAGGCCGAACAAATGGGAAATATGTACATTGAGATGTCACTTCAAACAAACGAGCTTCCTTCCGCACATCACATTCCTGCAGTAGCAGATGAGAGAAATTAGTGTTACAGAAGAGAGAGGTCAACAAACATTGCAAAGACTAACAATGCTATTTTGCAAGGAAACATTGCGAAGGCCAACATCCTTGGCAAAAACACAAAACTTGGATGTCTCAACAGCAGAAGCAAAACTCAAAAGTCAATGCTATGTTGCAAGGAATTCCATTTCAGAACACACGCAGAACTGAAAAGTCAATGACAACGTCTCTCTATCAAAGTCACAAGTTTGTATTAGCGAATATCAAACCACAAATTAAACGCAGAATATCTTTTGTATTTTGTTGCAAATTAGACACAGTTCTCGAACCATATGTTTATAATTGTTTCAACAGGTAGTGTTAGAAGTAGGGTGTTTTAAATAGTACTCCATCCGTTTTAATTTATATGTGAATCTATTTGACTGGGCACGGAACTTAAGAAGAAAGAGAAGACTTTTAAATTTGTGGTGTAAAATGAGGCACATATATTTTGTGTGGCTATAAATCATTGAATAAAGATAAATTATTTCTAAATATGGAAATGGGTCATTCTTTTTGGCACGGACTAAAAGGAAAATAGATTCACATAAATTGAAACGGAGGGAGTAGCAGGGAATCAGCATCGCGAGCAGCCGAGCACCACTGGACAAGGATTTCCACAGGATAATACTTAAGCTATTTGGTAATGACAGTTCATCTCGCCATCAGTATGTCAACATCAGATACTACTCGGGAATAAAATAAAAGGCAAAGATCCAGAAGTAGCAATAAACTTTCTTTAAGTTGACCTCATTTGCCTTACTTATTAGGGCATAAGCTTTCATGTGACTATTAAACCCCATTCTACTTGAGGCTCCTGATAATTGCCACCAGGTTATCAGCTCAAATACTGAAACGAAGTCATATAAAATTGAGGATAGATGTGTTGAGCTGAGGCTGTAATCTTTGTTCATTTGGCACTAGTGACATTACGCAACGGTCAAAGTTCTGTGGACGCAGATCTCCTAAGTTGAATTGAGATCTTCAGAGTAGTCTCTGTGTAATCTATTAAGTTATGGAGAAGGAACCGGATATTTTGGTGTTTCAGGATTAGTTGAAGACTTCCCTTCCTCTTCTGATGGGGTAAGTCAATATGAAGGAACACCGTGATAAATCTGTCAAGAAGAGTCCAATCATCAAGTAGCTTCAACGACCAGTTAGATATCTCACGATTTAGTGAAGCCAACACCGGTCATCACCCTCAAAAACAGGTCACAAGTCTCGACTTTAGAAGTTTGTCACACTTTCTATAGTCTACTTGTTTTCAAATAGGCTATCCAAATGGAATTTTTCAGAAGAAGGCCAGATTGGATACCAGAGACTAGACGGGCCTTATTATTCTCTTTCATCTCCTTATGTCTCTGTTTAAAAACTTTGTTAGAAGAAGCCTTGGTCTGAAGAGTTGACTGTATCTATACTCTTCCCTAAGCTAGCACTGGATAGATCAAACTTTTGTAGGCTAGCTAATAAAGATAACATAGAAACGGAATATAAAGCAAAGATTGTTGCTAGTGCAGACACTTTAACAGCAACAACTGTATGATAGGCCGCAGCCTCACCAGAACTTTATTCCTATACACAACCCCCTTACCCAAAAAAGTACGCATTCATGCACGACGTGAATTCTCTCAAGTATCTATACAAATCATTTCACAATGGCATTTAGGCAGCTGCATATCAACACTTGTGAATTTATCTGCTGAATTTCTTACTTCAAATCAATATAAGAGGCGCTAAAAAAATTCCACATGTGAAAAGCACAAGAAACACTAAGAGTGGAGAGGAAGGAAAAAAGAAAGAAAACAGAATGCTTTGTAGTTATTCCTCCTTTGAATAAAATCGTTCTCGCATGAAAAGATTACTGTTATTTTCATCAGATTTTTCATTGGTGCAAACTGTTTATAAAACCATAATTCTGGGGTAAAGCAATCTGTTAATTTTGCAGTCACAACTATCTCTAGAACAGAGAACTTTGTCTTCTGGTTCAGTTCATGTTTACCAGGCAGGACAGCAAGAACTCAAAATTGAAGTTGTTTTGTATTTATAATTTAAACTCGTAGATTAGATGTCACTGCAGGATAATAAATACTTATTCTTGCATGAGATGAATAAATAAAACAAATGATGAGTCCCTCATTTGGTCTTCATACATTGTACATGGTATGAAGTCAGGGTACCTCTACATATACAACAGTATCATTAGACTTGCATGTTCTAAGGACTTTGCCCTATCTTGAAAATATTTTGAGTTGTCAGTCGAACAAAAAGTTGGGCCACACATAAGAGCAATTATTCCTTGTTTCTTTTTGTAATAAAAAAGGAATTATTTATTCACTAGGAGACCCTTCAGCAAAGCATAGAGGTTCGACAAAGTAGCACAACTATTGTTTCTGCATGTCAACTTAATACGTCAATGGAGAACCACGCATCATCAATTCAGCAAACATCATGTAGCACCTTTCCATATAATACAAAGCTAAAAAACTGATTTTAACAGAGAAGGTTAATAGAGTTACTAACATGAGGCATCCTCGACGTTGTTTCTTCTTCTCCTTTTGCTTCTGTGGTGGCTTGATGACGACCTTGATTGCAGCATCAAAGACAGCTTTCACATTCTTTAAATTAAATAGGCAAAGTAAGATCAGTTAACAAATAGTCTAGCAACAAAAACAAAAGTAAACAACCATCAAGCAACAAACAGAAGAGCCTTTGCATCTTCAGTAAAGAAAATGTGGAAGGAAAAAAATCAGGAGCATGGACCAGGTGGAAGGGAGGATTCTTAGGAAGAGACAAGTTAGAAAGAGAGATCAATATCTGGAATGTTCAATACTTAAACTGGTTCTAATTGGTACAAGTTTGAATTGGAAACTTAAGGTCTTGAACTAATTTTCAAAATAAGGGTGGCCAATCGGGCCTGCCATTTCAATGAATAGCTTCATCGATGATGTATCTTACTATGTCAAGAAAGTCTCAAACAACAACCACGCACACACGCATAGCCAGCAGAGCAAGGAAGAAGGAAAGAGGAAGTCAAAAACTGTATGGCCCTGCTTTGCAAGTTAAAGATTCATAATCTATTCTAATCATTCTTTTCTTAACTTTAATTGAAAATCAGGTTGATATTCAGTCAAAGGATGTTATAACACAAGCCTGGATAATATTTGAAGATTGACCCATATGAATAAACCAAAGACCACCAGAAAATGAAAAAAACACTCAGTCGCTGAATGAAGTTTTTCTATATGAGTTGATAAATAGGGATAGCAAAACGTTTCTTACAAAAGTACATGCTTATTTTTAAATTGCCACTAACTACTGCAGTGTCTGTGCAACCACTATTTTAAACTCCAAAAGGCTCAAAGCAGACTAGACACTAGAAACACTTATTTTGGCGATCTCATAGTGAATCGTCAACCTACCAATGTAAATTAGGTTGCATATGGCTGATGTTAATAGGGGTGGGACAAGAGAACTTTTGCTAGGGGAAGCATATGGACATTTTCAGTCAGTTGATTAAAAACGATAACACAAATATAGAAGTCTGACAAATGTTTTCATTAATATACATAATACATTCACCTACTATAGTCATTCACCTACTTAAAGAAGTTGACAAGAGTGTTGCAATAGTTTTAAAGAAGAATATTTTCAACTATCCCAATAAAGAAATAGATGTGATACAGCATCAAGAGAATTTCTTTCCTGATAGTAAAAGTTGAGGGCACTTAAGTACTACAACTAGAAGGAAATACTATCCTTTAAAGGGTTATCTACCCTACATTATCTAAGGACGAACAAGATAGAGATAATCGATCCACATCCATAGGTAGATGCCTAATAGGCATCGAGGGCTATATTTGATATAAGAATGC